AACACCATCTGTTGATTGCGCTTAAGCAACAGGAGGTATTAAAAGTAACTATACTGTTAGAAAACATACTTTTTGATTTATTATTTTGCTATAAGCTGTCATCACCCGTTTATAGAAATAAAGAGAAAAGGACATCACCTTTTATATTACCTGTATTCTTTTTTTAATATATGTATTTTTTAGATGTTGATAGACTTTTATTTTATTTATTTATATACGGTGCTGAGAATCGAACCCATTGCCCTACACATGCCAGGCAAGTGTGCTACCTCTGAGCCATAGCCCCAGCCCCATACCCATATTCTTAATAGTTTCCAATTCTTCTAATTTTTTCCCCATGATTTTGAGTTTCCATCAGTTGTCATTTCTTTTCATGCTGAAGAATTTTCCTTTAGCATTTCTGTTGTGCACAGACTGATAGAAACAAGTTTTTCTCAGGTTTTGTTCATCTCAACACTTCTTGCTTTGACTTTTTAAAAAAATTTATTTATTTTAGTTGTTGGTGGACATTTATTTTATATAGTGTGCTGAGAATCGAACCCAGTACCTCACACATGCTAGGCAAGTGCTCTTCCACTGAGCCACAACTTCAGCCCCACTTTGACTTATTTTAAGGATACTCTTGTCAGTTATGAACTTTTAGGTTGATAGTTTTTTTTTTTCTTTCAGTTTTTTGTGGGTGTTCCATTGTCTCCTAACTTCCATTGTTTCTGATGATAAATAGTTGATGTTTATGCCTCTACATGTAATGCATTGTTCTCTCCTGGCTCTTGCTAAAGATAAAGCAGACATGATTTAAAGAGAGTAAGATGGATTTTATTTGGTAACTACTACAGTGGGGGAAGAGTTGAGTCCAGTGCCGATTTACATAGAGTTGACTAGGCAGTGTAGCGAAAAGGAGGGAGTGGGGAAGGGGCAGTGAGCTGTTGTTACTCAGGCACAGTTAGGGAAGTGAAAATTATAAAAGGCAATAAGAGGGCTATTTAATGAGAATATGATTAGACTTATCTGTTACAAAGATTATTCATTTTGCTAATCAGACATTTTTTTTTCTGATTAGGTAATTTCTAACTAACATTTATTGAATTTAAATTCATAGAGGAATTCCTGATCATCACATATCAGAAAAATGGCTTTCAGGTCCATGAGGAATAATTCTAGTGATTTGTTGGAAATAAAATCTCTCTCAAAGAGATGAGAAGGATTTACAGTATAAATATTCTTAAGGAGGGGAAACTGTTTGCCTGTCATCAAGTGTTAGGTGGAATAAGTGATACGTTTTCTTGACAGCCTTGATCCTTTACTGACAGGAACTCTAAGAGGGATTGGATTGCTCCAAGGACGTCTTAGGCTGCTAGAAACCATGCTAAAAATTGGTCAAATCTCTTAGTTGGAGGGTTTGAATAGAGTTATTTTTGCCAAGAATTTTTGCATTTCTCACTGCTTCAACAGTTTTGTATTTAGGAATTTGATAAATGATGTACCTGACTATATAATTCTTCTTTTTAAACTCCTTGGTGTTCATTGAGCTTCTTGGGTGTATAAATTTAGTGTTTTTACTAACAGTGAAAATTTTTTTCTGGCTATTTTTTTTCGTATATTTTTTTCTGACTTATTCTTTTTCTGAAGCTGTATTACTGAAATTCTGTTTTGCTTATCAGTCTTATTTTAGTTCTTTTTAGGTAATTTCTAATAATCTAACTTAAGATTTACTTATTTGTCTCCTAATCATCAGGTTGATTTTTTTAATTTCCCATTTTATAATACCCAGTTTTAATATTTCTATTTGATTTATTTTTCTATTTTTATTATGCAAAGATTCACAATCTGATTTACATCGAGGTGACTAGGCATTAAAGGGAGAACAAGGGAGTTAGGGAGTCCCTGCACATATTTATTATAATTTCTGAAAAATTCTTGTTCATCTTGGGATCTGCTTCTGTCGACTTTTAAATTTTGATTAGGGGTAACATTCTTCTATTTCTTCATGTTTAGTTATTCTTGGTTGTTGTTGTTAGTTTTTCATTGTTGTGATCAAAATACCCAATAAGAACCACAAGCAGAGAAAAGATTTATTTTAGCTCAAGATTTTAGTCTGTGGTCAGCCTGCTCCAGCATTGTGGGTCAGAAGTGAGGTGTAACATCAAGGCAGAAGGGCACAGTAGAGGCAGATAGGGAGAGAAGGATTGGGGTAAGGTGAGAAACTCTCCCAGGGCATGCCCCAGTGACCTCCTCCTTCCAAGTAGCCCCCCCCCCCCAATAGTCCATTCAGCCATTAACGGATTAATTCATTGATGAGGTCAGAGTTCTCATGATCCAATTACTTTTCCACCTCTGAACTCATGAGACTGGGGGATATTCTAGATCCAAACTCTGACAATCAATACTGGATATTTGAGTGAAACATTGTTGACTCTGAATTCTCTTCTCTCTTGTTCTCACAAGTTGTTTGAAATGATCTCAAAATCCAAATGGTTTTCCTCTGATGTAGGCCACAGCTAAAATTTCCATTCTTTCAGCCTTCCAAGTGCTGGCTTCAGCACAGCCCCATAAACTATCTGTATGTATAGTGTAGGGCAATTCACAGTTTGATGTTTTTCTCCCTGTGCGTTCTTAACAGAAAAACTCCAGGTTTTTCTGATGTTCTAGCTGCCCTGTCTTAACTCCGGCTGGAAAGTTCCCTTGGGTACAAAGCCACAGGAGCACAGTTCTCATTTATCGCAGTTTTTGTATTCCATAAGTTGATGTCTTATCTCTCCAGATTTTGTCTGTTTCTTGTCTTTCTCCAAAAAAGAGAAATAGTTTTCAAATAGTTGATTATTTGGTTTGGAGTTTATTATTATTATCTGAAGAAAAGTTAGCCTAATTGAGGCTACTCTACCATTATTGGAAGGAAAACCTCTATTGTTTTATTTGTATATACTTTTGCTGATTGATACTTCTTTCATTATTGAGAATTTTTAGAATCTGGGAGGGCCATTCTCTCTTTTTTCTGAGAGTGTTCCTGGTTAGTTTTGTTTATTTTGGTGTGTTATATTTGGAATGATATTGTCTGGATCTTGAATTGTTATTTTCATTGAGTTTGCATCAAATATATAAGTTTGTTAGACTTGATAACCCTATACTACTATCTTATCTAGGGATGTGTGTATTTTTGTCTTTTCTCAGTGTACTTTTGTGTTTAAAATGTTCCTTTACATAATTTTGACAGTTTCATAATTTATTTTATATGCTTTATAAATGTTTTGTTATAAGTTGGATTCTTTTTGAAAATACTTTACCTGATACAAATAAACAGATTTTTACCAACTAGCTAAATGCAAATTTAATATTCTTAGAAATGTCTTCCAATTTTATGAAGGAAGTAATGTAATACATGTTAAAACATTTAAATATACCCTCTGATGGCAGACTGAACGTGGCTGAGTTAGACCTGGGGTCTGAGTCTGTCAGCTTTTAGATTGAGTGCATGTTCTTAACGACTATTATTTTTTGATTTTTTTCAAGGCTTAAATAAAGCACAACTTAAGTTCTTCGTGCTCTCTTTTAAGATTCTTGTTCTCATGTCAATTCCGGAGTAACTTGAGTGAAATAGTCTTTTTAGCTCCATAATAGCAGAATAGCCTCTGATCTACACTGTTAATCATTTTCCTTGAATTATTTTCAGCTGTATACTACTATTCCTTCCTTAAACTCAGTCAAATTATTAGAATTTAGGTGATTTGGATGTGACTTAAACTGCACTGGGCTGTATATTTTTAGTATATATTTGATAAATAGCTTTTAAATAAAGAAACCATTTATGTCATGGTTTTAAAATTAGTATATCTTTAGGTGGAAAGGAAATGTCTTTTTTAAGTCTGGTAAATTTTGTATCCTTAAAAAAAAGGAGAGAGAGAGAATCAAAAATGTCTCAAGGCAGTGCAGAAAAGTTTCTGAACATCCCTTAATAAACTGTTGAGTAGTATAGGGGCTACATTATAGGAAGGGAGGGCATGACAGCTCGTGTGTGTTGGCACAGAATATCAGCACATCTCACTGTTGATGTACTTTGAAATGTTGATCCAGTTAGCTTACTAGCAGTGTATAAATTTGGGATTTAATCAGTTGTTTGATTTACTTTTAAGTGCTCTGAAATATACCTTCTGCTTCCTTGAAATTTTGAAGACTTTGTAGTATTTGAGAAATGGAACTAAATTTTAGAAATTTACCTTGTGATTAATTTAAAAAGTACATAACCTGAGAGAGACAGCAGTCAAATGTTTCATGGCAAAACTTACTTTTAAACTTCCCTTCTCCCACAGCTCAGTGGTGGCAGGGAAAATATTAAGAATTATCTCTGGGCTGCTTGTGTTATTTCTTTCTTTAGAAAGAAATGTCGAAAAAAATTTTAAAGTTGTATGCTGTGTTAGAATAACTTCAAAATCTACCTTATCCGTTTTAAATAGTGATAGAGCAGTAATAATGTTCAGTTATACTGTTTATAATTATTGCAATCAAATAACCTGAAAAATCTTAACTGTGGCTAATATCTTTTAATTGGAGTTATTTTCTATTTTAAAAATACCAGTGTTTTGCCAATATCAGTAAATTAAAAAATAATTAACATCTATTTTTTGGTAAACTTTTTTCCAAAAGGTCTGATAAAATGAAGCACTGTTAGTAAGGCCAATGCATAGGTATTAGATCTTTTATTTTGAGTAAAGGAAATTGGAAAGGATGTGTTATAGGTGTGATGTCATTAAACTAGAGAGCATTGGTGTTCACATTTTAAAAACATAATCATAACTTATCTGGAGTCACATGTTCCATTTTATTGGCTTCCTTCATATAGAAAATATAGTAATGAACACTACTACATGTCTGTGAAAAAGTGAAGCAATGTATATTTTCTGGGTGAAGGAAGTATTCTGTACATTCTCCATGTTTTACATCATGGTATTTTGAATAACCATGCTTCCATGTTCACATCAATTTTTTGTTTTTCAATTTATGCACAGCACTTGCTCTGAAATTTGGGGACTGAGTACACCAAATACGATAGATCAGTGGGATACAACAGGCCTTTACAGCTTCTCTGAACAAACCAGGTGAATATTCTGCCCTCTATGGAATCTTAGACATCTTGTGGGAGGGGGGGTGTTTTGGAAGACCTGTTTGGGTTGCTTAGTATAATTTTGCTTAGGATGTTTCCTTCATGTAAAATAAGGCATAGCATTTAAAGTATTATCTGCTTGCCAGTATTAAAAAGATATTAAATGTTTCAGCTAATGTTTTGATCGATGCAATTCTGGTTTTGAATCTTCTTTAAATTATTGTATCCCCTAAAGAATAAGAATTTTGATAGCCATATACTCATTTTAGTTCAAGATTAAATTGATCTGTTGTTGGCCTAATTTTTAAGCATATACATGATCAGTTTTTGCTAAATTTCTTGTTACCATCTAAATCTCATCTTTATACTAATACATAGTTATTTAATGAACCCCTTACATCACAATTAACAGTAGGCTAACTTGTTTTTATGTTATCTTTTTAAAATCGCCTCATTCTCTTTTTTTAAGTATATTGATATTTTCCATTTCATCTCATATTCATCACCATCTGCATTTATGTGTGAGCTATATAAATATGCCTCAGTTATTAAAGCAGTCACAACTGAATAATGAGTTATATTAGTCTGAGTAAGTTGCTGTCACATCATTGTTGGTATTATCATTCTTTTTTGTGACTATTCAGTTACATACAGAATTAATGCCCTTGAAGCATCATTAAATAGAGTTTGACTTATTAAAGGTAGATGTTGATGAAAAGATTTTCAAGTATAACTACATGATATTCTTTTAAAAGATCAGTATCCCCCAAATTGTTAGCCTTTCTTTGGCATTTGAGTCATTGGCGTGGCATATTGTTAGGAAACATCTGCTAGTGCTGCTGCTTACTTTGTCAGATCCATCACAGAGTACACTTTTCTTCCTGGTTCTCACTAAAACTAACTAAGTGGCTGTCGTTCCTTTCTTTATGCTCTTAGTGTATTAATTAGCGCATTTGCCTACACCTATGTTTTGTTTTTGTTAATTTGTTTTTTAAAGTTTCCTCCTCCTTTTCCCCCTTGCTTCCCAACAGATCTCTTGATGGTCGCCTTCAAGTTTCTCATCGAAAAGGGTTACCACATGTTATCTATTGCCGGTTATGGCGCTGGCCTGATCTTCACAGTCATCATGAACTCAAGGCAATTGAAAACTGCGAATATGCGTTTAATTTAAAAAAGGATGAAGTATGTGTAAATCCTTACCACTATCAGAGAGTCGAGACACCAGGTAGGAAAATTACAGGGTTTTCCTGGCTTTGAATTAAGTGCCTAAACTTAAGTTTATTTAGGTATTCTTGTGACCCAGGGACATTTTAGGGTAAAAAGTCTAATAATTTATCCTAAATTCAGCATGTTATATATCAGTAGTTAAATTTTTTTTTCCCCCAGTTTTTATAGAAAAACATGTTAGGTCTGCCAGTTTCTTGGACTGTTATACTCTTTGACATCAAAGTACCTATTCAGGAAATCCCACAGATTTGCCGTTAGAACTGACTTACCTCTGCATTCTGTGCTTCAAGCATTTTACTCTACTTTTGGAAGTACTTTAATGGCAATATTTTTATAAAACTTGTTGAATGAAGTTTGTAGTAAGACTTTTTATTTCATTGGCTATGTGCTTGAAACTTACTTAAAAAAAAAGTTGTGTTTTTTTTTGTTTTTTTTTTTTTTTTAAGGAAATTTCTTAAATCTGACTTTATATATCCAAGCAGATCTTTCCTCACCTTTTTCAGTGGAGGTTTGTGAACTTTTTCTGCTGATTTATATTTGGCCCCAAAGTATGAAATAAATGTAAACTTAGAAATTTAAATAGTGGCCTAAATGATAAGTTAAAGCCACACTTAGATTTATCAATTTCTTAGTCACTAATACTAAGTAGGTAGATCCTAACTTTTAAAAATAAGACTGCCTCCTTATCCTTCCTTGTGAAACCTTTTAATAAAGCCATCCATCTCCATGCTTTTGCTTCTTGCCATTAACTTAGATTTCTTTAACTTTTGCAGTTTTGCCTCCGGTGTTAGTGCCACGACACACTGAAATTCTAACAGAATTACCGCCTCTGGATGATTATACCCACTCCATTCCAGAAAACACTAACTTCCCAGCGGGAATTGAGCCACAGAGTAATTATATTCCAGGTATTTTTACCTTCCGAATCTCTTTAAACTTAGATAAACATTTTGTCATAAGCATTCAGGTATTAATAAATTGTGGTTTCACTTTAAAAATTGTCTAGGGTTTGGGATATTAAAGTTTGATTTGACAGTGATTGTTTTGCAGAATGTATAAGCTAGTTTTGTTTGGAGAAAAGTTTTACTTTATATTTAATTTTCTTTTGAGGGGACTTTAATCAAAGCAAAGATCTTAGTAAGTTTTTCTTAGTTGTTGAAGCTGAGAGAAATGCAGATTGTAAACAAAATAAGTGGTATAAGAAAAGAGTACTCCTGAACAAATATAACTAAAAAAATTTACCAAATAATCACTTTTTCTTAAATAATTTGATAATTTTTTATGTAAATGTAACTTCCAACCTCCTATTTGGGTTATTTTTCATGGACCTCAGTAGTGATGAAATGAAAAAATTTACATAGTCCTCAAATTCTATTCTAACTCTGGTTAAATTTCTTGTGTGATCTCTTAATATTTCACAGTACAGTAGTTGCCCTTTTAGTTTTTACTGTTTTTTTTATTTGTTTTTAAGGAGAAAACTACTACCTTATTTCTTTTCTCGTGTTTCCCTTTGTTTTTTCCCTAGCAGAAACTGAAGATATTAGAATGAGAATTATACTACATACTGGAATTTTAGTCTCTTCAGTTTTTCCTTCTTTTAAAAATATTCCTCTATTCCATCCTTTATTTTCATTTTATACAACTGAAAATATATAATAAACTTAACCCAAATATAGTAAAAATGTTTCTTTAACATATTTTATCATAGGAACAGTCCTTGTTCGTTGAAGACTTCTAAAAATCAAAAAAAAAAAACCCAAAACTTTTGTTAAAAAAATTTTTAAAAAGGTAGTTTTACACATGGGACGTAGTTTGTTTTAATGTACATTTCTTTACATTCCAAAAGAGGATTTAACACTGCTTTTTTTATTGCTGGCAAGTCTGCTTTCTGAGAAATTGGGAGGTAAGAGCAAAGGGTGGGGCACAGTACGATAGAGTAGGGTAGGAAGGGAATAGCAGAACTATAAAGCAGGACTTCTCCTAGGTAGAAAAATTCAGTCTTTCATAAATTTGGCATGTGCAAGTGATAGGAGGAAGGGAGGCATTTTAAGTCTTTGATTTGGCAATTAAGTTGAAAGCATACAGTTTTATAAGATACGTACCGAGTAATTATTTCCAAGGATGTTAATCAAAACATAAAGTGGTCTTCACATGTGAAGATGTTTGACCTTATCTATTTTTTATTTTTGTTCTTCTTTATTACTTTAATTCTTCAGGTGTTAATAGAAAATCAAAAGTGATTTATACCTATTCAATTTTCCAGACAGTGATACTTTGTCTGGCTCGAAGTGATAGCAAAGCTAAAGAATTACTGTTTATCTCATTTTTAAAGAAATTTTGACATTTTCTCTTAAATGCTTCTAGCTTTAATATCAGTTATTAGATAAATAATAAAGGAAAAAGGTAAAGAAATACAGGAAGATGAAGTATCTTTTTTAATTTCTTTTTAACCATACGGTTTATTTTTATTTTTTTTGTCATATATGACAGCAGAATATATTTTGACATATAATATATACATGGAATGTACATTCATCAATCATATTGTCTGTTCTATTCTGCTGCCCTTCCTATCCCTTCTACTCCTCCCCTCCTCTCCCATCCTTTCTCTCTATCCAATCTAATGTGACACACTTTTTTTTTCTTATCACAACATCATATATGTATTCTGTATAACAGTGAGGTTCTCCTTCCATCTTCTGTGCAACTCCGCTTCTCCCTCTTTTTCCCTCCCACCTCTCTTCCCTATTTAGTAGTAGTCTTCTTCTCATGCTCTTCCTCCCTATCCCATTTTGAGTCACCCCCCTAAGATGAAGTATCTTAAGGTTCAGTTTTACTTCCTACTTAGATCTTTGAGACACTGGTGGTTAAACTGGCAAAGATTTGATTAGTTTTAACCTTTAAATAGTGCATAATCTTAATGCAGTATTCTTATTTTCATGTTCTTTATTGAGTATATGAAGATATTTTATTCTTAAAATTTCAATATTAAAGATTTTGGGATGCTTATTCTTAAATGAAAAATTTACTATTTCTGTTAAACTTATATGGTTGCTTATTGAGCCACATTATTAAGGGTTAGTGAAGTGAAGACCCTTAACCATATCTTACTTCTCCTTTGGATAATCACAAAATCCTTTTTAGGTATGTGTTTGCATTTTCTCCATTTGATTCACTGTTCACCAACACAAAGGTTAAATTTTTGAAAATCTTATGAATTTGTTTTTCCTATTTAACATTATAAAGTAAAAAGTCGTGTAAATGTTTTTATTTTCTTTGAAGCTTATTCAGCTATTCAGATACTGAATAAATGTTATGTTATGCTGAATAAATGTTATCCTGAACATAAACATATTGTTCAGAAAACATGTTGGATACGACACAGTAGAATCCTAATATTTATTTTCAGGAAGCATTTTGCCTCTGTTTATGCAGTGACCTATAAGTATCCATCAGTGATGTGTATTAGTGTAAAAACAAAAAATTGCAGGTACTAATGTCTTTGATCCCTACTGAGTTAGAATTGAGGCATCTGCTTCTTGCCCCAGATTATGTACATATGAAAGCGAGGCCAGACAATAATGTCAAAGCAAATATGCCAAGAGAGCTAGATTGTATTAAAACTAGGTTTTAAGGATTCATCTGCAAGATTTGGATCAAAACCTGAATCATAAGTCCTTAGTATCCAATGTTGGTTTTTGTAATAATGTTATATACATTTATTATTTGTTCTTTGGAGTGATTCTTTGGTTAAATTTGGTAGATGGTAGAAAGTGGTGAAATTAAATTGCAACTATACTTGATTTGTTCTAAATTTTGTAGAAACACCACCTCCTGGATATATCAGTGAAGATGGAGAAACAAGTGATCAACAATTGAACCAAAGTATGGACACAGGTAAAAAATGTCTTTCAAAATTGCAAAATTATCAGATACGCAGTTAGTGCTCTGAATCCACAGGTTTCACATCCCTGAATTAAGCCAACCATGGATTAAAAATATGGATGGGCAAGGGGTCAGTTATATCTGTACTGAATATATACAGACTTGACTTTACTTTGCCATTATTCCCTAAACAGTACAGTGTAAAAACTACCTATATAGCATTTACCATGTCATTGTGTATAAGGGACTTTAAAATCTGCACTTTTTTTGGTGTCTACAGGGGTTCCTAAAACCTGTTTCCTAAAGATACGGAGGGATAACTATACATTTCTTGCATTGTCTGAAACTCAAAAGACGACAGACACATCCCTCTCAAATTTAGAGAAGTTGAGAAATATGTCAAAAAACGGGAATCTTCTATATTGATTTAACTGTATCTGAAACATCAAAGATGTCCATGTTCTTACTAAAAATTTAACAAACTATTTGCACAAATTCTCTTGGTAGGATGAAAATTTGAGAATATTCTTTTTAAGAATTCTATGCTTCTGTTTTGATTAGTATAAAATTTTCAGAGGGATTTGGGGTGTAAGGGATAAGGATCAGCTTTTCAGGGCTCTTTTTTAACTTAATAGTTCTGAAGTACAGTCCATTATTTACACAGAATACCTTCTAGCTGACCTAATTTGATAAATTTCTGGTATTTAGCTATCATGCCCAAACAAGGATAAACAAAAATTTTTAACATATAATAAATATTATACACATCAAAGTTTTAAACCAGTTGTTACATAATTACTTATATGATCTAGTACATTACCAGTGAAATTGCTATCATTTTTATGACTGTTAGGATAGTAGAAAGAAATAATCTCATTATCACTGGAAATAACACATTACACATCTTAATGTTATGATACTTGGCTTTCCAAATGTTGTAACATGTCTGGATGCCAGTGACTTCTATTTTTCAATCAGCAGTATTCTTTTTTGCCCCTGATAAGAACACTTAACAAGTGTTGGTGAGGATATAGAAAAACTAGAATCTTCATAAACTGCTAGAAATAAAAAGTGGTTCAACCACTTGGGAATATTTTGCTATTCTAAAAGATAAAATCAGTTACTGTATAGCCCAGCAATTTCACTCCTAGGTCTATATCCAAGAAAATTTAAACAAACTTGTACATAAATATTCATATAAGCATTGTTTATAACATTCCAGAAGTATAAATAACCCACATATCCATCAGATGATGAATGGGTAAATAAATGAGGTGTGTCTCTCTACAATAGACTATTATTCAACTATAAGAATGCTAGTACAGCATGAAGTGCTACAACATGTATGTATGTACCCTGAAAGCATCATGTTTATGAAAAAGGCCACAGGTACTCTGTTGGTGCATAAATATGTTTGACAGTACAACTGAAACACAGAAGGAACAATTAGATGAATATAATAACTGCCTGTGGTGAATGAGTCAAAATTTTAAAATGAACCAGGCATGGTGCATGCCTATCATCCTGGCTGCTTGAGAGGCTGAGGCAGGAGTATCCTAGGTTCAAAGCTAGCCTCACCAATGAGGCTCAGTTTTCAAATAAAATATTTAAAAAAGGGCTGGGGATGTGGCTTGGTGGTTAAGTACCCCAGGGTTCAATCTCTGGTACCCAAAAAAACATAAATAAATTAAAATGGAGAGTAACTCACTCATCTCAAGTGAATTCAACGTTGGAGCTAGCTCTGAACCTCACTTAATAGTTCTAATCTGTTTCATTGGGGCACTGTTATTGACTTAAGGAATGACACATTTAAAATTACTTCCTATAATAATGACGATGTGAATATCTCATTCATGAGATTGACAAAGATCATTTCACTTAAGTCTTTTGGCCACCATCAATTTCTGTCAGTGCCACAGCACTGTTCCAGCAGGGTGTAGTGCATGCCTGTAGTCCCAGCTACTAGAGAGACTGAGCACAGGAGTTGAAGGCCAGCCTGGCAACATAATGAGATCCCACTGGGGAAAAAGAAAGAAAGAAAAAAAGAAATAGACAAGTCTCAATTTATTTATTTTATTTTTTAATAGTTTGACTGTTTTTATTTTTATTATTTTATTTCATCTTTAAACATTTAAAAATTATTGTTTCCATTAGCTCATCTCAACTCTTCAGAAAGGTGGTTTTCATTGTGACATATTCCCGCATATATAAAAATACAACTTGATCAGTTTTGCCCCCACTCTTCCCTCCTTCCTCCCCATGACTCCCTTCCTCTATAATACAGTCACCTTTCTACTTTTATGATGTCTTTTCTCCCTTTATCTTCCATATATGAGAGAAAACATAACAATCTTTTTCTTTTTTATTTATATATGACAGTGGAATGCATTATAATTCTTATTACACATATAGAGCACAATTTTTCATATCTCTGGTTGTATACCAAGTGTATTCACACCAATTCGTGTCTTCATACATGTACTTTGGATAATGATGACCATCACATTCCACCATCATTTCTAACCCTATGCCCCCTCCCTTCCTGAGTTCATCTACTCCTCCCATGCTCCCTCTCCCTATCCCACTATGAATTAGCCTTTTTATATCAGAGAAAACATTCAGCATTTGATTTTTTGGGATTGGCTAACTTCACTTAGCATTCTTCTCTAACTCCATCCATTTACCTGCAAATGACAAGTCTCAATTTAGATAAAATTTGACCCCACCTCAACTCTGGTTCATACCTTTCATAGAAGGACATAATTAAATTCATTTTCATACCCTTCTGGGATAGAATAAATTAATATTTTTAAAAGGGCAAACAGAAAACGAGAATAAGGAGCTATAGGGCTGGGGATGTAGCTCAGTTGGTAGAGTGCTTGTCTCGCATGCACAAGGCCCTGAGTTCAATTCCCAGCACTAATAATAATAATAATCAGGAGCTATATGAATAACTTTTTTGCATGGTCCCCCCCCCCCCAATCTTTAAAAAAATTTCTCTGGTCAAGCCTTTATTCCTCCATTAGTGTCTGTGGATTTTAAAGATTACATCAGATATCACAAGAAATCTCAAAGTTTGATTACATTTTGTTGTATTCTGAAATAAGTCTCTTTCCAAGTCAAAATGAATTTTTAAAACTTTATTTGTTCAGGGCTGGGGCTGTAACTCAGTGATAGAGTGCCCGCCTCACACATGTGAGGCACTGGGTTCGATCCTCAGCACCACCTTAAAAAAATAAATAAATAAGGATATTGTATCCTAAGGAATATTTGCCCAGGTTTTTTTTTTTTTTTTTTTTTTTTTTTTTAAAGAGAGAGTGAGAGACAGCGAGAGATAGTGAGAGAGAATTTTTTTTTTATATTTATTTTTTAGTTTTCGGCGGGCACAACATCTTTGTTTGTATGTGGTGCTGAGGATCGAACCCGGGCCGCACGCATGCTAGGCGAGCGCGATACCACTTGAGCCACATCCCCAGACCCCACATTTGCTTTTAAAGTGCTTCTTTAAGCTTGATTTCAGTAGTCTGCAAGTCCTATGCATGGATGTGATTTCCTTTGCATCTCTCTGCTTTGGCTTCATGAAATTCTTAGACAGGTGAGATGATGTTCTTCAATTTTAGACAATTCTCTCCCATTTTGCCTTTTAATTGTTCTGTACCTCATCCTTTTCTCACTCCTTTTGTAAGTAAATTTACATGTGTATTCAACCATTTGATATTGTCCCATAGTTTGAAAGCTTGATGGACCATGAAGCAGAAAAAGATCCTTAGAGATTCCAGAGTCAGATCCTAAGTCCTGCTGAGAGGGAAATTCTGATCCAGAGATAAAATCCTCTCTCTGCCCTACAGTCTGGTTGGCAGTCTGTGGGGTTTGGGGAGTTCTCCCCTTCCTTGGAGGTCTGTCCCTCAGGAGATCTTTTCAGCTCTGATACCCTTTCCAGGCTGAGAGTGCAGAAAGGCTGTAGCAGGGCATCCAGTAAAGGCCTCAGTGTAACAGGAAGATGTTCCTACTTCTTCTTCTTTTTTTAAATTTTATTTCAATTTGTCCACAGTTTTCAAGTTCTGTTTGCTTATATCCCAAGGTATAAAGACTGAAAAGGCTTCAGTGAGAGGTTGAAAACTTCAGAGAGTTAAGCCTGAATTTTTTTGCCATGTTCTTTTTTTTTAAAGAGAGAGAGATAATTTTTTAAAAAAAATATTTGTTTAGTTTTCAGCAGACACAACCTCTTTGTTTGTATGTGGTGATTGAACCTGGGCCGCAAGCATGCCAGGCAAGCGCGCTACCGCTTGAGCCACATCCCCAGCCCCTTGTCATGTTCTTAATCCTCTGCCATCCTGAATATCTCTGCCTTGGTCAGGTGGTCTATCTCTCAACCCTCTTGTTCTGCCTAAGGTCTTCTGCAAAAAAGCATGGTGACAACCTATTGGGGAAGAGTTGAAAGTCAGTGTAGACAATCTTTGAAGCTGATGTTGTTTACAATTTTCAAATGTTATGCTTGTCCTTTCAAGATTATTCATACCTCTTGCCATTATCGGTGGCAGTTTTCTCTTCGTCCCTATTCCATGCACCATGAAGATAATAGATTCTTTTAGGTGATTCCCAAAAGTTAGAGCATACCTTTGTGGATTTGATTTCATTTACATTTCTTTTCTCTCAGTTCCTTAATTACAAGTTTTTATGCTATCTTACTTGTTTTCACTATTAGTTGGGGAATGACACTTTTAGCAAATTTCTGTATCTTAAGGTCTAATTAAAGTCTAGCTTATTGTTGAAAAACTAAATATACCTTGTCTTTGTTTTCTCTTTTCTTTGTATCAATTTATAAGATGGTGAAATTATTCTCACAATGAGTTGATTGTATATTTCTACTGTCCTAGTATTTCTTTTTATATTTTAAAACCATTGTTGAAAAATGTACTACTGCCTGATATATGCTGAGATATGGAAAAATAGTTACGTTATTCACTTAATCAGTTATGAATAAATCTTTCTGAATCACTTAAAAAAAAAGG